CAGTGATCATGGGCTGGTCCGGAAGCTATTTCTTCGAAAACGGTTTGTATTTGCGGTGTTTCTCGTTAAAACCTAGTTATTTTGTCATGGACAAGGACAGTTTTTCAAAAAAAAAAAAAAGAATCTGAGGTGAAGTGGACACTGCATATGACGCTGTTAGGAGGAAGTCCACCCCAACCTTTTCTCGTTATTTTCACGGCTTTCGTCCACCGATTTCGCACCTTCGGATCGATTCGAAACGTATACTATAACTACACGCATTACTGCAACCGCCCACAACACAACGTTTAACCATCATAAAAGTTTGTTGTGAAAACAACTTCTTAAAATTCGCTCTCTCAAAAATAAAATAAAATAGACAAAAGAAACGCCGATTAAAAAATGTATATCGTTTAAAAGTACAGTTGTACGTTGAATGACACAGTGATATAAAAGTACGGCCCAGGGGTATGGATTCCTCTCATATTTTTGCATTTGGTGGCGCACTTTCGGCGAGAGTCGGAAATCCGGAAACAGTCGACAGTTTCAGGATAGGTGGGCGTGGCTACAGCACGGGAAATATCTCAAATTTACTTGGATACGAGTAATCATTTTCAGCAAAACAATCAATAATTGCCCATTTCAGTGGGGCACAGATGTAAAATGGGAAGCGTGTGGGTGGGCATTGCACAGGCACTTTAATGGGTGCAGGAAATCAAGGAGGGGCAATCTCAGATGTTCATTTGCCATAAAAAGGCTAAACACCATACACCAGCTCGTGTGTAAATGTCATAATTTTATTATTACTTGATGTGTTCTTGAAATTTCATCTCAACTTTACAACCCATCCACTAAATTATAATCCAATATTTAAATTACAATAAAATAGTTTTTGATTTGTGGATTACCTCAAAATATGTAGCCTTATTTATAGGGAAGTTCATTTTTTTTTTTTCATTTTTCGATGAAATTCATGTGACCTCAGTTGTTTGAGATCTGTCATAAAAATGTGCATGTGCCAATCTTCAGGAAGACAGAAGATTTTATCATACTCAATAGTTTGTATTAAATATAGCACAATAACTGATTCTTTGTATGAATTTAAATTCTGAACGGAAAATGTAAACTTTTCATAAACATATAAATTGGTTTTTATTTTTGGCTTTTTAGTAGCTTAAATTGGAAAATTTCATTTTTAAAACACACATAGTTTGCTCTTTTTTATCTGACAAATGCATGTTTGGAAATCAGTTTGTTTTCAAAATGTTCATACACTTCCACCCCCAGCCCAACAAACGTACCAGGATTTCAAAAGGTACACATGTATAACATGGCAGACATTTGTCGAAAATGTGTTTTTTCCCAGAATAGTCTGCTCACAAGCCAATTTGCAGCCATCTTGGATTTATGTACAGTGCTTGTTATGTTCAGCAAGGAGGAACTGGTGGTGAAAAAAAGGAACTGGTGGTGAAAAGGAGGAACTGGTGGTGAGAAGGAGGAATTGGTGGTGAAAAGGAGGAACTGGTAGTGAAAAGGAGGAACTGGTAGTGAAAAGGAGGAACTGGTGCTGAAAAGGAGGAACTGGTGCTGCAAAGGAGGAACTGGTGGTGAAAAGGAGGAACTGGTGCTGAAAAGGAGGAACTGGTGCTGAAAAGGAGGAACTGGTGCTGAAAAGGAGGAACTGATGGTGAAAAGGAGGACCTGGTAGTGGAAAGGAGGACCTGGTAGTGAAAAGGAGGACCTGGTAGTGAAAAGGAGGAACTGGTGGTGAAAAGAAGGAACTGGTGGTGAAAAGGAGGAACTGGTGGTGAAAAGAAGGAACTGGTGGTGAAAAGGAGGAACTGGTGGTGAAAAGGAGGAACTGGTGGTGAAAAGGAGGAACTGGTGTGGTGAAAAGGAGGAACTGGTGGTGAAAAGGAGGAACTGGTGGTGAAAAGGAGGAACTGGTAATGAAAAGGAGGAACTGGTAGTGAAAAGGAGGAACTGGTAATGAAAAGGAGGAACTGGTGGTGAAAAGAAGGAACTGGTGGTGAAAAGGAGGAACTGGTGGTGAAAAGGAGGAACTGGTGGTGAAAAGGAGGAACTGGTAATGAAAAGGAGGACTGGTGGTGAAAAGGTTAACATTCAGACAAAAAAACTACACAAACTTGTAACACAAACATTTATAACTGACACACTTTATGACCACAGTCACTAACACAGATTTGCAAATAAAACAAGTATTTGAACATTTATATAAAATATTTTACTTCTTGAACTTAAATATGTTAAACAAAATAGTACTGGTACATCAAATTCAGAAGAGTAAACAAGTATTAAATCTATAAACAGAGAACTAAAATTTACAATTTATGACTTAACTAATATACACTGTTTTCTTTTAGAAAAATAAATGAGCTTATAAAACCATCAATCATATGCATTATATACAAATAGTAAGTACACGAGTAAATTCAATACTCTGTAAATATTATTGGATAATAAAAGGTTATGAATATATGCAAACTATGCATGGAGGCAGTATAGTGATTGTGTTGATCAGCACCTATAAGGTGGATGCAATCCTGTGTCGCCTGAGTGCATACTTCGCGATATTCTCAGCGGTGATAACCTTATAATTATACATTTTTCCCTGGGTGTAGTAATAATTTAGTGAGAAATATCGCTTTCATACAAGGCTGCCATTCAAACACAAACTGTACAGTGTTATTGGTGTAACCTGAATAATAATTTGTATATAAATATATAATTAATACACAAAATGTGATATCCCTGTTGGCATTCAATCTGGGTGCATGAATGCATTGGTTTATAAACTTCACTTTATAGATACAAAAGTTGGATTTTATGCAAATGGTTATTAATTGAATGTAAGATTTTACAATAAGAGTCAAATCTGACAGATTTGTATGTATGACATGTATTTTTTTTTATTATTTTGTCATTTTTTATTCCATAATCCACATCTTATTTTGTATTAGTAAAAACAAATAAATAAAGCAAATATTATAATGTACGTACATGTACATATTTATTTTTTTTAAAAAGTATTATTTATCAAATGGTAAATTTTACAGCTTTTGTGGCAAGGGTTTTTTGGTTATTGTATAAAAAAAATGTTATCATTTAAATTATGCACAAACAATCGCCAAAACGAACACAAGCGTCCATTTCTATAAATAAACTAAAAGAGGTAAAAATGTACAGCAGAATCTGAGTGGCAATCAGAACAGTTACATGCTGTTTGGCACAAAGAATGAATAAGCAAAATTATTTTCACTAAAGCACCTAAATACATTTTTGCGTATAATTAGCTACAGTATGGATTTCACCATAATGCAAAATTATGTGGGCCAGATGTGAAAACACATGATGTAAATCTATGTGGTGCAAATGAAAATACACATTACTTTGCCACATTAAATAGCACATTAACTACCCTAGATTGCACATTTACTACCCTAGATTGCACATTAACTACCCTAGATTGCACATTAACTACCCTAGATTGCACATTAACTACCCTAGATTGCATATTAACTACCCTAGATTGCACATTAACTAGCCTAGATTGCACATTAACTAGCCTAGATTGCACATTAACTACCCTAGATTGCACATTAACTACCCTAGATTGCACATTAACTACCCTAGATTGCATATTAACTACCCTAGATTGCACATTAACTAGCCTAGATTGCACATTAACTACCCTAGATTGCACATTAACTACCCTAGATTGCATATTAACTACCCTAGATTGCATCTTAACTACCCTAGATTGCACATTAATGTGCCCTGGATTGCACATAAATGAGCCCTGGATTTCAAATTAACTCTCTGGATTGCACATTAATGAACCTTGGATTGCAAATTAACTCCCCTGGATTGCACATTAATGAACCCTGGATTGCAAATTAACTACCCTAGATTGCAGATTGCATATTAACTACCCTAGATTGCATATTAACTACCCTAGATTGAAAATTAGCTACCCTAGATTGCATATTAACTACCCCAGATTGCATCTTAACTACCCTAGATTGCACATTAATGTGCCCTGGATTGCACATAAATGAGCCCTGGATTTCAAATTAACTCTCTGGATTGCACATTAATGAACCTTGGATTGCAAATTAACTCCCCTGGATTGCACATTAATGAACCCTGGATTGCAAATTAACTTCCCTGGATTGCACATTAACGAACCCTGGATTTCAAATTAACTCCCCTGGATTGCACATTAATGAACCCTGGATTGCAAATTAACTCCCCTGGATTGCACATTAATGAACCCTGGATAGCACATTAATGAATTATGGATAACACTTGGAAAAATATATAATGCAATATTACAAGTAAACTGAACAACAAGGAAGCAACATGCAACAAAAGTTTATTCACACAACATTTATTCTGCTAACTGCATCACTATTTTGCATAACCCTTTGCTTAGGCATCAACACTTGGTATGGTTGTAGGAGAAACATGACTACTGTATGTTCTGGACGGTGATGATGATGGTGATTTATATGTATCATCCTCTGTAGCTTGAATATTAGGCGAGGTATAATTTGCTTGTCTACTTCCTATGAAAATACCATTATTTGTCGTAGCAGTTTCATTCTATAAATAAAAGTACTACATGTCACAGACCTTTAAACAAAGTTTATTGACTGCAATTACTAAGATTTAATATGTATCAATTGTGTCTTCAATGAACTTTTCAAGGAAGGACAAATTGTGTCAGAAATTTCAGATGTTATTTCTTGGAACTGGCTAATAACAAAAATCGTAATTGAACTAGTTTTTGTAAATTGACTTTTAAAGAAGGCGAGTGAAAGAAAGAAAGAATATTATACTTTTAATAAACGAGGCATATATGATCAAGAACTAATTATATTAAAAATAAATATATTGAAAATAATAGGAAATTGCAAACACAAAAACATTTGGTTCATTGTTTTGGAAATGAAAAACGTGTAAGTTGAAAGACAAGTGCTTCACTCATCACCACTGACATTGGACTTGATAGAATGATCCAAACTAATTAAAACCGTTTTTAAGCATGAAGAAGATCAGCACGGTCGCTAATGCTTGGGAAATTATCATGATATATGTTATACAGATATATAAATGCAGATACAGAATCAGCAATCTACAACTATTCCCTGTATAATCCCAAGTTGCGTTTATGACTATACCTAGGTAAGGTCTGGGTCGACAAATGAGTCAGCAGTCTACATTATTCTGTGTACAATCAATATAATTACCTGAGTTTCGCTCACAACTACAGCTACGTTCGCTCTGGGTATATGAATGGGACTCGTATGACCCTCCATTGCCCTGGATATAGCGTTCTCCCTTGGGTGAAGCTTCACGTCATCAGAATCCTCATCAGTCGATGATATTTCTGCTGACAGATAAGGAGATGGACCAGTCCAGCTTAACATCACGGGTAGAAATACCAGGCCATGGAATAAACCAAACAAAACTACCAGGAAAAATATCTATAACCAATAATTTTAGGTAGTAGTTATTAGTATATAGTTCTAGCATAACTTAAGATACAATGTCAATATCTGACACCTAAAAACACATTTGTCATTGTGGCTTAGGTGTGGTTGACATGATTTTCTCAACAAGCTCGCTTATATGAAATGGAAAAAGTAGGTTATTGAGGTGGGTAGAAATGGGCGCCCTGCCCAACTTAGTAGTTTATTTAATTGTATTTCATTGAATCTGTAATTTTATTCGTTTTGTAGTAGTTGTTTGTTTCAATAAATGTGTCTCTGCCTTTCACCAGATTTCTGCGTGGATTGTTTTTACAAATGTGAGAAATCAACACTTATCAGGCAGGAACTTGGAAAAACTAACCTGTACTGAAAACACTTTTTAATTTTGCAAGAGATAATTTTTTTTAAATTTTGAAGAAATTTTGTTAAAATTTCCCTTGGGCCCTACAACATGGTGACTTTCACCAAATTTTGTAAAATCCTGGAATCACTAAAATAGTTAGCAGTGAATATTACTACCGGTAATAGTACTTTAATTATGTTATTGAAATCTGTGGAGTAATAATAATTATTATTATATATCTGTCACCCTAACACCATAAGTTACAGCATGCCATAATTTTGCAGTATTTTACGGGGTATTTTCATCCAACAATATTGGGAAATGCGAATTCCAAATATGGAATGATTACACCCGTTAGCATCTCCAATAATAAAAACAAACAAGGCTGCCACCAGAGTTTAACAGGACTCCACACAAAGAAGTTCTCTGATTCTGTTCTAAACATTTCAGATTTTGGCATTCCCATGGAAAGAAAAGATGTATAATAATAAGGTTATTACGAGGATACCTCAAAGTATGCACTCAGACAGTACGCCATGCATCAACCTCTGCTGTGCATTGGTCGATCCTCCAGCTGTACTTATACTGTCTTCATGCACACTTTGAGGAATCCTTGTAATAACCTCATATTATGTATAGATTTCAACCAAAGAACATATTTATACTTCATAGAAATTCAACAATTGGTTCTTGAGGTATCAGTGGAACAGACCACGTACATATACATGTACTGCTTTACACAAGACTAAGGTGTATTCAATGACTCAAACATTAGTTAAAATTTGAGCGGAAAACAAGTTTTGATGACATTACACCTACATGTGAAAGGCGGAAAAGTTGATTTTGGTGTTCAAGCTGAAGGGTTAATGAGTCGATGAATATTAATCTTGAATGACAATGATATGAAGGAAGTGAAATAATGCACTCACCTTGAAAAACACTTTGAAAATGTAAGAACTTGATGCAATAAGGAGTACAAATGCTAAGAATGTACTAAATCCACCATTGAATACAGCGGGACCGATATCACCCAGAGTTTGACGAGTACGATCTGTAAACAATAGACATTTTATAATTATGGTTGAATAGACGTCATTTGTTGATAGTTGTTGAGATCTTGTTAAGAGAGAGAGACTTGTTTTTACCGTTGAATACGCGTCTTACTTTCTACCATCATTGTATTCACTGTTCCTCTGACCTATGTGTATGTAAACAGGAGGGGGGAGGGGCAAAGTCACAATATTTAAGGAGCAAAAACAAGTCATGTGGCTCTCACACTTTCAACAAAAGATCCTGGCAGCCATTTACTGTATTTGACAACTGCTGGGAGCTAGCTAGTGTATGAAAACAATCCTACTAAGAAATTGAACTACAAGTATTGTAAAAACTCCATTAAGTGATGCTCTCTATAACTCACATGCCAAGATTATTTTTAAACACTAATTATTAAATGTACCCTTTTTAATTCATGATGTTCCTAAGAATTGTATTCTATTAATTTACACTCCAACTTATTATGCAGGACAAAAAAAAATTATTTATATTACAAGAATTAGAAAACAAATACCGGTATAACATGTTGCAAAACTTCATATACATGCATAATATTTTTTAGACTATGTTTGCTTCACCGGGTACTTCTCCAGTGACCACAGCAACGCATTGCATCTGTGTAAATTTCTGTCATGACATTGAATAATTGTAACATTTCCTCAGTAAATGCAGATAAAAAAAAACAATAGTGAATTATTTCCAAATTCATCAAATGATTCAAAAATATTGGCATAAAAAATTCTGGCTGCAGAAATTAAAAAGTATACATACATAAACAGATCACTATTGTTGTCGCAACAATTCTAAAATTAACTCTTACCATTTCTTGAACCTGTGATTGTCATAAAAGAATGACCAATATGTGCTGCATAATCCACGGCTAATCCCACAGCTAGAATTAGATTAATAGTTGTTACAGTATCAATAGTTAATCCCCATACATACATCATACCGGTTACATCCACCTGAAGATAAGAAATTATAGTTCTGTAGTTCAAATAACATGGATGAATACTTTATAACCTTTTCACCACCAGTTCCCTCTTTTCATCACAAATTCACAAAATAGTCCCGCTTATAGTCTGCACATTCCTTCAGACAACTGGGACAAAAATAGCCAAATTTTTTTGAGTAAAATAGTGAATATTGCCTTAAATTTTGTCTGTTGGCTCCAAAATTAGGGTTCATTTCTAGAAATATTAAAGAATAAATGATAAAAAGTGCACACAAATTTGAATGAGAAATTCTGGTGGTGAAAAGGTTCAGGCAATGTGAACCTATTCACACGATGTATATGAAACTGTAAATGGGGGGGGGGGGGGGGTATGTGACCCAAGTAAGAAAAAAACATGAAAAATTACAAATGAAAAAGCAATAAAGTTCCCTGGCATCTGATTGGTGTATTTCTAACCTTTGCAATTACTGTGTGTTTGTTTGTTGTATGTTTGAGTATATGCTGATTCTTACCAGTGTTAGCGCTACACACAGGAAAACCAATATTGATGTCCATAGGTTTGCAATTAATATCAGAGTAACTAAAAATACTGCTAGCAAAGCAAGTCCTAAGTTACGATACAACTCTGCTCTGATCACCTGAGAAAATATTTAAAAAAATTTAATATTAAAAAGGATGTATTATGAAATTATATTATAATAACAATATATATTTCAACACTTCAAGAATGTTGATCTATCCTGTATAACTTCAATCAGAAGGCCTTTAAAGGAATATTGGTCTTCAACGAAGACATTTTAACTTTTGGAAAGCTTAGCCCATTCATATTTTCCAGTCAGTGCAAAGAAGGCCTACTAATGCAGTGAGAACCTTTGGTGAATCTCAGTTCATCAGACCTCATGTATTACGTGAAAGGTGCAGACCAAACGTCTGCCACAAAAATCTAACTTTCTTTTATAGCTCTTATGTCGAAATACTGATCTTTGAGAGAGGAATATTGCATTAATAGATACCTTTACTTCATTAAAATTGACGATCTTAAAATGTATATAGTACATTATTAAGGTAGAGATGCAGTTTACCTGACAGGTATTTTAATTAGTTAATTAGGAAACCAAGATGACCTCCCTTGTCCACAAAACTATACATTTTCGGAAAGCTTATTGTATGAATTTTAAAATTTTGTTAGTATTTTTTTTTATGGACACTGTAATTTGAAATATGCACAAAAATGTGCTTTTTTGGTCAAAAGTGATTTAAAAAAAAATTAGCTTCTAAACCATGCTTCTGTTTCCTGTCAAAATTGGTTTATGGGTACATCTGTTTACTATGAAGAAAGTGCCGTCTTGAAAACTGTCTACCAGTTGTCAGCAGCTCAAATTTCACTACTTCAAGTTTATGCATAAATTAACACCCAGGCTAGTTGTATGTACGATTGTTGTAACACTGTTCAACCAAAAACAATGCCCCGACGGCGTTTTGAAGACAAACACATTGTCAATCATTTGCGAAAATTTTAAAACAAAAGGTCAAAGCACTAGAAGCTATTTTTTTTTAAAGTTCTGGGATGTGCAATAAAAAGAATCTGAGATAATTGTTAATTTGCATGACAATTCACTCAGTAAGAAGTTTGCTAATGCTCATAACTAAAATGGGTGTAACAGTTCCAAATTTAAATGTATTATAGTTCTGTTAAAAGTTAAATATAGTGCATAATATGGAGATCCCGTCATTTCTTTTTTTCACAATGTTTCTTTTTCATTATTTATGTACAGCCTTGCTAAATCTTGCTAAGCATTCAAAAAAGAGAATGTTTGCACCTGTTATCTATATTTTAAAATTGTTTTTTGAGTGTTTTCCCCTATTCTCTATTCACTAGTCTACAAAATGTCAACAGTCTATAGCAAAGACTGTTGGGATTATAAAAAGCAAAAAAAAAAAAATTTCACTCCTAAGTGCCCACGAACCTGCATCTCTACCTTAAGTGAGGAAATACTCCTAAAATACTTTTGTGCTCGTTGAATGTGATGTGATATTTTGACATCACTCCACGGTTACCAACCTATGTTTTTATATTCAATTTCATGCATAATGCAGGATTTCCCAGTAATTGGAAAACAGTCTAGTAAATAATATAATAATAATAATAACTATAAAATAATAATAAAAAGCAAAGTTCAGGAGACTCAGTTTTATTTTTTTATAATTTCATTTTTTGTGTCAAAGACACAATTTCCCACTGCTGACAGATCGTGATAACAATTTTTCAGAAAATTTGAAAAAAAATATTCATATTTGTTTTATAAATGGTAACAAAAGTTTGCTTGGGCTTTCAAAGGGTTAAAGGTCAAAGGGTTAAGGTCTTTTGAATATAGAATAATAGAATAAATAATGAAATGTATGTTTACGATGAGTTTCATTTTTATGTCAGAAATGTATGCTATTTATTATTGAACAGCCGAAATAAAATTGCTTAAATACAAAAAAAAAAAAAAAAAAAAAAAAGTCTTTTGAAGGGTCTCATTCACCTTTGTAAGAGCCTTTAAAGGGATTGCTTTAAAGACAGTAAAAAGGCTGCACGTTTGAGAAGAAAGTTTAATTAATGTTAATCACCTTATTAGCATCCCAACCAAGGAATAGCTCGGAATAAACAAAACTTGCATCGTTTTCGATAAACCCAGCGTTCTTAACTATACTCCTAACACTATCCATCGCTTCAATTTCTTCAGCAGAATTTTCCAACGTACGAAACTGAAAGTTAATTCGCGAGAACTGAAAAAAAAAGAATTACAATTAAATTAATGAATTTAATTGGCTGAATCGTAGATTAATGTCTACAGTCATTTTGACTGAAATGAAAATCAATTTTTAAGACAATATGGCATTGCTCTCTTGACCTTGGTCACGTGTTATGTAAGTGGAAGAAAATCTATGAGGTCATGGGGCTTCCCCTGAGCTAGATTTCTCTCTCCGTCATTGGCTGAATCGCAGATTAATGCCTACAGTTCAAAATAGTCATTTTGACTGACCAGAGTCTATGGTGTGTAATTGAACGTAGTAAATAGACCTGAATCAAATTAATTGATTGACTGACAAATCAAGCATCATCAGATTGAGAGAAGCATCATTCATATTTCTTCCATATTTTTTCAATACGTAAGATACAAAGCTAACCAAATGATTATGCATGGCAATGACATGCCAAGCAATATGGCATAGATTTATGATAATATCATTTGATGTGAAAGTGAATTTTTGCTCTGCACAAAACTTCATTTTCCAGCTGTCTAGGTGATGTTTTCACATTTGTCTAGGTGATGATTTCATGTATTTGCCAAACAATTAGTAGTTTGATTGACTCTTTGATTTATAATATAGGGACACCCCATGTATGAGTTGCATATGATATGTATGACCATCAGCTTGTGTTTTAACTTTGGTTTGTTGATAAAATAAACACAAAACATAGTTATGAGTAATCTATACTGCAGAATATTCTAAAAGTATAACACATAAAACCATGAACATTGTGCAAACATAACAATTTCAACCAAGTAATTACTTACAGACACTTCTCCCCCAGCAAACTTGATATCATCCACATGACGCATGCCTTCAGCAGTTGTACTGAGAAACTCACTAACCCAGGCATGATATACAGTCTCATTTGTAGGCATATCATCTATGAAAGACAATAGTAATTTGTAATTATACATGTATAATGTCAAGGCAAATCACAAAAGCATTGTTTCCATGGAAACAATTAAACACAGGTACCCCTTCTTATTATTATTTAACTACTTTTTAGTCATTTTCCCAATGGTATCTTTTATTTAACCAAATACTGTAAAATGACTAATTTTCACTGGGTTTAAATTTCGCTGATTTACGATTCCAGGCATATTCAGTGGGTTTTAAATTCA